AACTTACTGATTGGTTATTTTCTTTTTAGAAGTTTGTATTACCGGCACAAATAAGTAAATCCAGAGTGATAATCACCAGTTATATGGATTTACAAAATTTATATAAGTAGTTTTTTTATTTTTTTTAGTCTTTTCTTTTACTAACCTTTTTTTTTATATTATACGTCACATTTTTGGATATTGCTATTTCGTCGTTTCCAATGTAGTATACTTGGTAAGTGGTCTTTTTTTTGTTTTTGTTGCCTCTTTTCTTTACTGACTATTTCTTTTATAGCATTATACATCATATCTTCGAGTCGTCGCAATTTCATCTTTTGGTATTTTGGTGTGACATATTTAATAAGTAGTTTTTTTTTGTTCTTGCTGCTTCTTTGTTTCTTTTTTGTTCTTGCTATCTTTGTTTCTTTTACTAACAACTTTTTTTTGATAGTATTAACTATTGCACCTTTGGTTGTCGTTTCTAGCAGTGTTGCATTTATAGATATTTATTGGTGTTGCTACATTTTGGAGTTGTCGTTTGCTAGATTCGGTATTTGTTGGTGATGGTGATTTGTTAGTGATAGCATTTGTTGGTGATGGCGTTCGTTTGTGACGGCATTTGTTGGTGACGGCATTTGTTGGTGACGGCATTTGTTGGTGATGGCATTTGTTGGTAATGGTGTTCGTTAGTGATGCAGCTATGTTTGTTAGTGGCGGCGATTATTAGTGACAGCAAAATTTTGGTGCAAATTTCATTTTTGTAAACACAATCTCTTTAGTGTCGTTGTTTTATTGATGTTTTCTGATGTGTATACTGTAATCGCTTGTTGGCTGTTCTATTGTTTTTTGTGATCAAAGTAGTAAGTCTTCTCAACATATACATTTATAACAAACGTCATAGGGTTTATTCATAACGCAATAATGTTTAGATTAGAGTTAGTGAGTATGCGAGTTTAAAAGTCTAGTATTACCACTCTAAAAAATTTCTCTGACTATGTGATCTGATTAAAAAAACTGTTTTGCGATTAGTTTAGAGTTAGGGTCCTACCAGTAGGTTATTATTGGTTTAAAGGGCTATAATTATAGTAAAATTTCATAAGGAAAATTTTTTGTTAGTATTCAGAAGGCATTCTTATAGGCAAAATTTTAAGCTACAAGCGTTTTTGATTGTTTTGTTTTTTTTCGCTTCTTTTATGTTGTTATACATGATCTTTAAATCTGATGGCTAGTGAAATTAATTAGAAAGTGATTTAACTGCTGTTATGTGAATTAGGTTAAAATGAGTATTAGAGTAAGTATTGGGATAAAGGTTAGAATAAGAATTATGTAAATTACTATAATATAATAAAATAATTGACATAATAAATCTATAAAATATATATATGATATAAATTTTTATATAAATCGATTTGGATCATGTAATCAGTGATTTTCACCCCAGTGAAAATTAAAAATTTTCTATATATATAATTATCAATATTAAGTATTTGAGGTCAAGTTTTTGCTTAATTGTGCTAAGCACTAGCTCTGTCTCGGTTTCTAGTTTTAGTATTCTATAAATATAAAATTCAAATAATGTAATTTTTTTATTTTAATAATTTGAAAAAAAATTAATTAAATTTTAATGAAGATAGAAGCATGATCTTATTTTTGAAAATTTAAAAAAAAATATTTATTTCTAGACAAGATGCTTAGAAATGCCTAATAATAATATTAAAACCAAATAGTCAATTAAAATTCAAATAAATTATATAATGGCTGTTTTGTATAGCACAAAGGTAATATAAAAAATGATTATCTCAGATCAGTCTGTCGCAAAAAAACAGCTATTTAATTAAAATATTGGTCGGGAAGGCAATTTTACTGCCTTTACCACCTAACCTTATACAACCTAAAGTTAAGAATTTTACCAAAAATAGAAATCGATTCTGGAATGTTCTCTTGAGCAATGATTGGCTTACAATTATGCTTTTGGGCTAAAATTTTTTTGCCTTTTTATAATATTTAATCATAACTAATACTTTATACATGAAGAATAAAGAACCCATAGTTTTAGAATCAATAAATAATTAGTTAAAATCAACTCTTTATAGCAAAATAGATGAGTTCTAAAAAAACTTTAAAGTTTTATCAAGGTTTGTTGATATTCTATGCTTCTTTTTTTTTTTTTTTGAATAACTGTTAAATATTCCCACAATGTTGTAAAGCTTTTCATACTTTGCATGTATGAGTATTATGTATTGTAGCTTTGCAGACTTTTTATATATATTAAAATTAGCTTAATCAACTTCAAATATAAAGTCACAATTAAGCTAATTAAGTTTTAGTTTTTTTTTTGCTTTTAATTTAATTTTTTATTTTTAATATTTTGTTTTTTTTTTTTATTTTTCTAGAAATAAAATTGCAACAATGAAATTTAAATGCATTTAACAATTGTATAATAGATATAATTCTATTTAATTTAATCAAATATTATTAAAGAATATAGATAAAGTAATAGAGTTGTGATATCGTTGATATCTTATATTTGATCGATCAGAATTGATCAATTCTTATACCATTTGATTCATCGCATCAAGACGAATCGAATAGTATAAAAATTATCTAATTTTAATTACTTGTTAACAAAATATCTTTGTATTTGATATTTGTAAGAAATATCTGTGATGGGATTTCTATAATAAATAAACCTATTAAATTCATTAAGTTGTTTGTAATGCAAAATTATATGTAATTCTAGATTTTGGTGAAAATTTTACAACTTTTTTATTACTGTAATAAATTTTGAGCTATATGTTACTATGTTTTTTCGTTTTAAAAGCTATTATTTGATTAGCTAATAACATGTGATTTTTGTGAAACTGAATTGTCGAGAATCATCTGATTGACATTTTTATACTATAAAAGATGTGATTGACACTGTCCATTTTTAGGAGTCTGCTAAAGTGGGATAACTATTAAATCGACGGTTCAGAGGGTCATGCAGGTAAATTGATCATCTAAACAACAACAGCCAATCAACGCACCCTTTTGCCGCTACTTAATAAATTTAAAAGAAATTTTTTTTTTTAAATTATTAAAGTATCAAATCTTAAAAGTTTGAAAAAGAATATCCACAAACCCGTAACAAATAGCAAATGGAAAACTAAAAAAAAATCTCAACTATGCATGGCTATGTTATCTATTTGAGAGCGCTTTTCTTTTGATTTATTTTTATTTGTGTTATTTAAATTATAAAGAAAATTTACTATTTATTCTTTTTGCTTCCATTAAGTACTTACGTATAAAGAAATTTTATTAATCAGTTGTTTATATAAGCTATCCGGGTTCATGAATACATGCTTTTTAATTTTTCTCAATTCAGGTCAATTTAGTTCGTAATACAAAAGAATTCATTAATCGAAAGAAAATTCATTAATCTGTTTATAATACGTTATTCAGGCTCATGAATATTTACTATTTTTAATTTAGGTTAATTTGGTGCATAGATACAAAGGAATTTATTGTGCTTAAAATAAGCTATTTAAGTTCATTTCATTTATTTTCATTGATTTAATGCATAAATATAAAGAAATTTATAAATTTAATTGTTTAAAATAAGCTATTTATGTTCATGAGTATTTATTTAATTTTCTTAATTCAGTTTAAATTAATTTGCAGTACAAAGAAAATTTATTAATTTTAAGTATTTAAAAATATGCTATTCAAGCTTATGAAGATTTATTATATAATTCATTTTGTTCATGTTGATTACTGTGTAAGTATAGTTTAAAATAAGCCATTCAGATTCTTTAGTTGTGGTGTGTGAATACAAAGAGATTTATTACAGCCATTTTCAAAAATTTATAGAAAGGGCAGATGGAGAATTCAAGATATTTTTCAGATTTTCAGAGTTTTCAAAACTCACACTAATCAGATTTTTAATTTTACTAAGCAGAATTTCTACATTCTTCAATTCCCCACCTGGGTATATGGAAATCGCTTTCTACACCTTTTTGAAAACAGCTGTAAGTTTAGAATATCTGAGTGCCGTCAAGAGAAAGCCTGTTATCAGGCATTCAATTGTATTTTGTACCAGACATATTCTCTAATAAATCAAATAGATGAGTCTAGTACAAATAAAATTGAAAGCCTAATGACAGGTTTTCTCTTGATGGCACTTATTTACTATTTAACTTTTATGTTAATTTAATGCGTAAGTGTAAAGAGAATTTATTAATCCAGTGGTATAAAATTAATAATTTAGGTTTATGAGTATTTACTTTTAATTTCCTTTAATTCAGGTTAATTTGATGCATAATACAAAAAAAATTACTAATCTAGAATGTTACTATTTAATTTTATTCATATTGATTTGGTGGAAAGAATTTAGTTTAAAATCAGCTATTCCAGTTTATGAATATTTACAATTTTTTAATTCAGGTTAATTTAGTGCATAAATATAAAAAAAATTGATTAGTCTAGATTTTAAATAAGCTATTCAGTTCATGAATGATTACTATTTAATTTTTT